TACCAAGCAAGCCCGACGTCCACATCATTAGCTATGCTGATGATATAATGATACAAACCACTTGGTATCTTGAGGTTATCTTGAGATGATTTCGGGGCTTTAGTGTCCCCGCGGCCCGGTCCTCGACCAGGCCTCCACCACCAGGAAGCAGCCTGTGACAGCTGACTAATACCCAGGTACCTATTTTACTGCTAGGTAACAGGGGCATAGGGTGAAAGAAACTCTGCCCATTGTTTCTCGCCGGTGCCCGGGATCGAACCCGGGACCACAGGATCACAAGTCCAGTGTGGTGTCCGCTCGGCCGACCGGCTCCTGGTATGCTAACACGCAAGACTCTTTTTATCTCTCGATTAAACTCATGTCAGGACCTAAGTGCAGTCATCTCAGCAGTGAAAATAGATACGAAATCAACGTCTACCGAGACAGGGAGGAGACAAGATGAAACTGTATGATGACTTCCAGCATGACTGCCTAAACAGATTCCTAATTGACTGCCTAAATGTCAACATTGACTGCCTAAACAGATTCCTAATTGACTGCCTAAATGTCAACATTGACTGCCTAAACAGATTCCTAATTGACTGCCTAAATGTCAACATTGACTGCCTAAACAGATTCCTAATTGACTGCCTAAATGTCAACATTGACTGCCTAAACAGATTCCTAATTGACTGCCTAAATGTCAACATTGACTGCCTAAACAGATTCCTAATTGACTGCCTAAATGTCAACATTGACTGCCTAAACAGATTCCTAATTGACTGCCTAAATGTCAACATTGACTGCCTAAACAGATTCAAATACCTTGCCTTGAGGTCCCTCGGGTTCCACTGTCTTTTGTAATCAGACTCTGTTGTCAGTATAAAGGGAGGCTCAGATTTCTCAAGGCTGTTGCAGGTTATCACTCAGGCTATGGTGACAATGTCACAATTGTCAAAATGATGTACCTTGCATACATCAGGAACTGCCCATATATTTCCGCCTCCGCCGGAAAGCGGAGGTGGAAACACACACAGCGTGTGTGTGTGTGTGTGTGTGTGTGTGTGTGTGTGTGTGTGTGTTTGTGTATATACTTATTCATTTACATATATATATATATATATATATATATATATATATATATATATATATATTTATATATATATATATATATATATATATATATATATATATATATATATATATATATGTATATGTATACGTTGTTAGAAAACTTGTCCAATTTGGACCAATTTCTGAATCTATCAGTCGGCTTTTCTCAGCAACCTTCTGTGGGTTGCTGAGATGAAGGGTTGACTCAAAGAGAATTTAATATTTAGCCTTTTATTTTACATTTTTACATAAAATGTCAGTAAACTGATACCAACACTTACTTGGGGATGATCTCACTCAGTATTTACACACTACTATGTTGGGATGAAATTATTACAGTTCATTTAGAATTTTTAATAAGAAATTATATATATATATATATATATATATATATATATATATATATATATATATATATATATATATTTTATTGAGACAGAGAAAGAAAGGAGAGAGAGAGAGAGAGAGGGATAGAGAGGGATAGAGAGGGATAGAGAGGGATAGAGGGAGAGAGAGGGAGAGAGAGGGAGAGAGAGAGAGAAAGAAAGGAGAGAGAGAGAGAGAGAGGGTGAGAGAAACAGTGTGTTTACAGGTGGAATGCAAAATTACCTAAAAACAACAATATTCTAAATATACTTAAACAGATAGACTGAGAAACATGTTATGAATCAATTTTATTAATGGTTAAACACAAAGTATAACAAAAATTCACTTGAAAAGCATGAATGTATATGTATATTTTTACACCTTATTATTTATACATAACTGCCCGTAGTGTCGGAGCCAATCCTCAGACTTTGGTAAAAATGAGTCAATGTCAATTATAATTGTTTTAGAAATTTAAGACAATATTTAATATCGTGGAAGGTCCACAAAATCATGCAGAATGACTTGAGACGTCGTTGTGCGGCGGCTTATGAGGTTTAAGGAGGGTTTAAATAGTGTACTCACCTAATTGTACTCACCTAATTGTGCTTGCGGGGGTTGAGCTTTGGCTCTTTGGTCCCGCCTCTCAACTGTCAATCAACTGGTGTACAGATTCCTGAGCCTACTGGGCTCTATCATATCTACATTTGAAACTGTGTATGGAGTCAGCCTCCACCACATCACTGCCTAGTGCATTCCATTTATTAACTACTCTGACACAGAAAAAATTATTTCTAACGTCTCTGTGGCTCATCTGGGTACTAAGTTTCCACCTGTGTTCCCTTGTTCGTGTCCCACCCGTGCTGAAGAGTTTGTCTTTGTCCACCCTGTCAATTCCTCTGAGAATTTTGTAGGTGGTTATCATGTCTCCCCTTACTCTTCTGTTTTCCAAGGATGTGAGGTTCAGCTCCTTTAGCCTTTCCTCGTAGCTCAATCCTCTCAGTTCCGGGACGAGCCTGGTGGCATACCGCTGAATCTTCTCTAACTTTGTCTTGTGTTTAACTAGGTATGGACTCCAGGCTGGAGCTGCATACTCCAGGATTGGAGCTGCATACTCCAGTGTGTGTGTGTGTGTGTGTGTGTGTGTGTGTGTGTGTGTGTGTGTGTGTGTGTGTGTGTGTGTGTGTGTGTGTACTCACCTAGTTGTGTTTGCGGGGGTTGAGCTTTGGTTCTTTGGTCCCGCCTCTCAACTGTCAATCAACTGGTGTACAGATTCCTGAGCCTACTGGGCTCTATCATATCTACATTTGTAACTGTGTATGGAGTCAGCCTCCACCACAACTGTGCGTCTGTGTGTGTGTGTGTATGTATGTGTATTCACCTAGTTGTAATTTCCGGGGTTGAGCTCTGCTCTTTCGGCCCGCCTCTCAACTGTCAATCAACTGTTACTAACTACTATTTTTTCCTCCACACTGCACACACCCGTGTGTGTGTGTGTGTGTGTCTGTGTGTGTTCGTGTGTGTGTGTGTGATGGTGTTCCGATGTTAAGGTTCCCCTACTCACCGAGGCTCTAGCCAACGACTGCTGCTCCGCATAATGCAACCCACAACAGTTGAGTTGTTCCCAAGTTCCTATATATATATTGCTAGGTGTGAAAAAGACGTATGTAAACATCTCGCCCAACCCGATAGTCGAACCCGGGACAAGTTGGTTATGAGCACCCTGCTAGCCACAGCGCTGAAGTTAGACTATAACAGAACATCACAAAGTGATTACAAATAGGAATTTTGTATCGTTCTTGTTACAGGACATTTTCTCTTGTGTCAAGTCGTCTGCTCCAGGTGTGTGTTGTTGTGTCAGGGTGTCTTCTCTGTGTGTCAAATGGCCACCTGCCTGTATCAAATGTTCAGTTTTTGATTGGTGCCGCCGGAGGCGGCTAGTTTATTGTGCACCCCATACTCATCCTGTGTTCAAGTTCAAGTATGTTTATGGAGATAAGAAAGAAATATATCTCAAAGGGATAGAGTAGCTTAGGCTATTTCTACCCCTCCTGTGAGCGGTAGCGCAAAAAGCATAACAGAGGGCACAAAAGGTGTTCAGATGCTCGTCAGAATCCTGAGATCGATGAAGAATCCAGTAACCACTCCGGAGATGTGTTGGGATTCGAACCTAGGTCAAGTAAATACTTAGCCAAGAAGAATAACATGAGCTCTTAACCAGTCAGATGTTCACATCACGCAGGTAAGCTAAAGGGAAATAAGATACTATAAGAACTATGAAGCTGCTTCAAAATTTTTAAACAATAAACAGCACTTGTTCCACTTTACGGGGTCATCTCCAGCACCTGTTTCACCTTAACGGGGTCATCTCCAGCTCCTGTTTCAAATTAATGGGGTTATCTCCAGCACCTGTTTCACCTTAACGGGGTCATCTCCAGCATCTGCTCCACCTTAACGGGGTCATCTCCAGCATCTGCTCCACCTTAACGGGGTCATCTCCAGCATCTGCTCCACCTTAACGGGGTCATTTCCAGCATCTGCTCCACCTTAACGGGGTCATCTCCAGCATCTGCTCCACCTTAACGGGGGTCATCTCCAGCATCTGCTCCACCTTAACGGGGTCATCTCCAGCATCTGCTCCACTTTAACGGGGTCATCTCCAGCATCTGCTCCACCTTAACGGGGTCATCTCCAGCATCTGCTCCACCTTAACGGGGTCATCTCCGGCACCTGCTACACCTTAACGGGGTCATCTCCAGCATCTGCTCCACCTTAACGGGGTCATCTCCAGCATCTGCTCCACCTTAACGGGGTCATCTCCAGCACCTGCTACACCTTAACGGGGTCATCTCCGGCACCTGCTACACCTTAACGGGGTCATCTTCGGCAACTGCTACACCTTAACGGGGTCATCTCCGGCACCTACTACACCTTAACGGGGTCATCTCCAGCACCTGCTCCACCTTAACGGGGTCATCTCCAGCACCTGTTCCACCTTAACGGGGTCATCTCCAGCATCTGCTCCACCTTAACGGGGTGATCTCCAGCACCTGCTCCACCTTAACGGGGTCATCTCCAGCATCTGCTCCACCTTAACGGGGTCATCTCCAGCATCTGCTCCACCTTAACGGGGTCATCTCCAGCACCTGCTCCACCTTAACGGGGTCATCTCCAGCACCTGCTACACCTTAACGGGGTGATCTCCAGCACCTGTTCCACCTTAACGGGGTTATCTCCAGCACCTGCTACACCTTAACGGGGTGATCTCCAGCACCTGTTCCACCTTAACGGGGTTATCTCCAGCACCTGCTACACCTTAACGGGGTGATCTCCAGCACCTGTTCCACCTTAACGGGGTTATCTCCAGCACCTGCTACACCTTAACGGGATCATCTCCAGCACCTGTGCTACCTTTAAGTCGGTTTCCAGATGAATCTTTACATAATCCAATGTTCGTTATTTAAGAAATGACTGGGGGGGGGGGGAGGATACAGACCCACAAAACTTCGATATTACGTGAAAATTGGAAAAGATTCTTTATCCTGGAAATTTTTTCCTGGGAATTTTTTCCTGGGAATTTCAGAAAACCACAAGTGACTATGTTACTAAATGCCACACTTGCATATATTTTGTTTTGGTGTTCCTGTTCTAAATTCTAAATTTCAAATCTTTGAATGTTTGCCTTACATAGATCCCTATATATAGTTTGCCCTACATTGTAAAGACTGTAATAGGTTCTATGTAGAGAAAACATCCAAAGATTTGAAATTTAGAATTTCGCAACGTAAATACTCCATAAGACATGACCAATTGTCTAAGGCTTTGTTCACTTGTCAAAAAGTTGTCACCAAATTGATTTTGAGATGACGTCTTCAATAACGACTTGTAAACGCATTTTCAATAGGAACATAATTGATTTTGTAATACATATTACAAAATTATGTAATTGGAACATTAACAGTGGTTTAAATAATTTAGATCCATTTGTGTCAACAATTAGATACTTTTGTTACTAAGATAAAATACAAAATGTTGAAGTTGCTTGAGTTATAAAGACGAAGAGAAAATAGTGACATGAAGATTGATGAGAAGACATAGGAGATATAAACAAGATTTTAAATATATCAACACAAACTAGAAAACGAAGCAATGGATATAAATTGGATAATGTCAGATTCAGGAAAGACCTGGATAAATACTGGTTTGTAAACAGGGCTGTAAAGTTACTGAACAAACTACCGGATATCATAATAGAAGTGGGATCCCTGGATTGTTTCAAGTGTAGGTTAGACATGTGAATGAGTTTGTGTGGATAGATATGGGAGAGGCCTCCTATTGGCCAAAGGCTTTTTTTAATCATATTTTCTTACATTGATATGAGTAAGCATGATTAGATTAGAGTGGGCATGACTTTACTTGGATTAAATGATTTTAAAAAATCCTAGATTGTTGATCATTGTTGATAGTGTCTAGTGGTGGAACGTCAATTTCATACAATGTTTATGACATTTTTGCAATCGTTTTCCAGTTAGCATCAACAGAAAACTCATAACTCTGCTACTTCATCATGCAAAAAGCACTTGACTGTCAACTACAATAGTGTTTTCAAATGGCACTCCAATGCTGATAAATTGTTTGTCAAGTGAAGGTCAAATTTGAAAAGCCAGCGATATTAGCAGTGGGTAAAGGGTAGAACGTATGAATTACGACCTGTTTAGTGTAAGATGTGGCTCTGTGTGGTTATACTGGGATAATTAAGGAACTGGAATGATTGCATGAGGGACGGCAAGCATGTTGGCTTGGCTGTTAAGCCCTTGACTGCGCACGTCGTGTTTCTCCTCGTCAAGTCTAGTAATAATAATAATAATCATGGCACTTTACACTAAGGGCAGTTTATGAGATGATTTAAGAATAATGTCGTAGTTCAACTTATATTGGCTAACTCGGTATTATTTACACCCACATGTGAAGAACAAACAATGAAAGCGTCTTGGTATTGTCCATTGCTCACTGGGGATAGATGATGCGCTCCTCACACTTTATCACTCTTATGAAAGGTAACTCATTCTTGATGCGGGGCTCATCACACTCCATTTATCTCCTCATAGCTTTACCTCGTATCTGTCCCCTCACTCGTCGTATCTGTCCCCTCACTCGTCGTATCTGTTCTCTCGCTGCTCACAGCTGTCACGTTTCGTGTCTCCAATCACTCCTACATCACCTTATATATCTTAGTTCTTACCACGTGACGAGTGAGGCCGATGTTTCCAATCGTTGGTAAGAGGTGGACAAGGTCCTCCTGGCGTGACATAGTCCCAAGGACACAGAGAACGAGAGCTAACAATGTCTCGGCGGAACAGATAAAGCCACTGAGAATCACGTCAATACACACACACGTTTCTTCACACAAAGATTCTCATGCATCGAAATCTAATTTGAGGGTTTTAGAAATGTTTTAATGAAGAGTCACACGTAGCGAGAGCAATATACAGCCCGACACAGCAAGTGCGCATCTCTGACGCGTAACATAACAAAGGAGGGTTGCTTAGCTTACATGTGATATTTATATATATATATATATTTGTATCTAGTAGGGTGAAAGCCGTTCAGAAGTAGTGAGCAATGCGAAGAACGTTGATGAGGAGGAGCAGGAACGGGGCGAGGGTGTGGCGAGGCGCCCCACGGGACGACAGGTCGGGGCGTAGCGACGGGTTCCTCGTCTGGTCTGTCTCCACGTCTGGGTAGTGAGGTGGGTTCTTCCGCTTCCCTTTGTTGTGTGACGAGTGAGACGCGTCCACCGTCGTCTTGTAATTGTAATCGTCCTCGTACTTGTTCTTGTGTGGACCTGTAGAAGAGGCGGAGGGTGAGTGGGGTGTGAGGCTTGTGTCGGGAGTGGTGGTGAGGTTGATGGTTAGTCAGGAGTGGTGGTGAGGTGGATGGTTAGTCAGGAGTGGTGGTGAGGTGGATGGTTAGTCAGGAGTGGTGGTGAGGTGGATGGTTAGTCTGGAGTGGTGGTGAGGTGGATGACTAGTCCGGAATGGTGGGTGAGGTGGATGACTAGTCCGGAATGGTGGTGAGGTGGATGACTAGTCCGGAATGGTGGTGAGGTGGATGACTAGTCGGGAATGGTGGGTGAGGTTCTTGATGAATATATATATTAAGAGTTTAACTCAGTTCTGAACAACATTTGGTGTTAAAAATGCACACGCAATTAGTTCAGTAATCCACTACGATGGCCCAATATATTAACCCTCTGGCGGCTGGCAAGTCAAGAAGCCAACAGAGGACCGGTAGAAGCCTACCTGAAGACTTGGCGCTGTGGCTGAGGGCCGGGGAGGGAGAATCGCCCCCTGGTGGCCCTTTGGAGGTGGTGGGTCTGTGTGTTGCTGGAGGGTCGATCTCGTAGGTCCGTATCTGGCCCTCGGCCTGGCTGATGGAGTTCCTGGCCACGCACGTGTACGTGCCGATGTCCGAGGCCTGGACGTCCCGAATGATGAGCGACATGTTGGAGTGGTAGGATCTCGTCGACTCCCCGACTTTGTATTTCGGTCTGTGTGAGGGAGAGAGAGACTGTGGAACACCAGGCAACACTTGGGGCTCGGGACAGTTAGGGAATTATCAGGAGTGAAAGCGCCAAGCCATTACGACTATATAGCACTTGGAAAGGGTTAGGATAATAATTTGGGATGGGACGTGGGGAAGGAATGGTGCCCCAAGGACTTGGACGGTCGGGGATTGAACGCCGACCTGCATGAAGCGAGACCGTCGCTCTACCGTCCATCCCAAGTGGTTGGACCGGGATAGTTAGGCTGGGGGAGGTTAGGTAATATTCTAGTACTCTAGTATTACTGGGGAAAGATATACATACAGTGTATATGCATATTTTTCGGTACTGTTATTTAACAGTGTCTCAGTTTGTATGGGTATGAACTTTGGGATTGTTAAAATGTTGATTTTGGTTAACTTGTGTATGGAAAACATTTTGAAGGCAGGTTTTATGTCTTCAGATCGGTGTGATATTCACGACCGGAGCATTTTGTGGTGTGTACTCAGTTGAGGAAGAAAGACCGTAGAGTATGCAACAAGACGGATAAACTAATCAGTATTTTTGAAGATAAAGACCTCCAAATGTCGTTTTCTATGTGGCTTCTCCTTCCGTCCAAATAGATTAACAGATCAATGGTAATTGCGTGTTTGAAACTTAGTTACACTTTTCGTCTTCACTCAAGTTTGCTTTATGTAAACTTTAGTTAAAAACTCTTCATCAGGAAATTGCAATATTAAGATGTTACCCTCACTAGTACATGTTATTGTTTTAGATTCAGCTACTCGGAACAAAATATTCCAAGTAGCACGGGCTATGGTGATCCCACTAGTGGAGGCTTTTTGGAACCATTCAATCAATGGCTGATACTGGAGATCTAGGGATGGACGGGGGTCTTCATGGGCTGTTGTTAAACTTGTTAAAGATTCGCTACCTGGAACAAAAAGTTCCAAGCAGCACGGGCTATGGTGAGCCCGTAGTTCTTCATGGGCGTTTTCAGCTCTGGAGCGCTGGCTGCACCAGTTATGGAGCTGCTGGGTTAGTGTACACCTCTTGGTCCTCCGTTTTTTTCTTTGGCCGAGACTTTAGTCCGACTCACTGGTGCATTCAGTTATCGTTTCTGACGTTCTTGGGTCAGGTGTGTGTGTGTGTGTGTGTGTGTGTGTGTGTGTGTGTGTGTGTGTGTGTGTGTACGTGCGTCCGTGTACGCTTTTGTTTAAGGCAAAAAACACTAACAGTTTTCTGTGTGTTTCTCGTTTTATAAACAAGCGTGCCCAGCCTGAGATGACCTCTGACCAAATAAAATACTCTCTTCATATTTCGGTATATTTTTTTTTATTTGTATTAGAAAAATGATTAAAGTATTGGCATTATAATACGTCAGTATCATATTGACGATTTTTATAAATTATAAGTTTAAATATGTTGACCAGACCACACACTAGAAGGTGAAGGGACGACGACGTTTCTGTCCGTCCTGGACCATTCTCAAGTCGATTTTCAATCGCCAGTCGATCTCAATCGACTTGAGAATGGTCCAGGGCGGACCGAAACGTCGTCGTCCCTTCACCTTCTAGTATGTGGTCTGGTCAACATACTTGAGCCACGTTACTGTGACTCATCGCCTGCACAGTTTAAATATTTTCAATAGTTTAATATCTTAAAACCGACAACGTTTATATTAAGATTCTCTAAGTAAACAGATTATTATAATTTATTAATTATTATTATTATTATTATTATTATTATTATTATTATTATTATTGTAGGAATTGTATGACAGGACTGCATGATCTACAATAAAGAAAAATTAATAAAACTTTAACAAACGCAAACAAAATATTAAAAGTAACAAAACATATAAAAAGACGTTCTCAAACTATTCAGATGGAGCAGATGTTGACCAAACATCTACAGAACGAGGTCTGAAAGTTGGGCTTTGAACGGGAAGGAATTAAGAGAACCATCTTGGTCTTAACTAATCACCAGAGGTGCCACCCATGTAGGCACCTCTTTCCTCCTTGTTGGCCCCTAAACCTTTCCTCCGGTAAAAGATTAAAGACGTGGTCGACCAACGTCACTCTTGAGGGCTGTGGTCTTCTTTGTCTTCTCTTCCTTCTTCATCTCCTCTTGTTTATTCACACCCTCTTACTCGTCCATTTCTTGTCTTCATCTTAATTTTTTCTGCTTAATTTCTCGTCATATCTATTTCCTTGTCCTTGTGTTTATGTCTGAACTCACTTGCCTCTTCCAGTAGGAGAGGCAGGAAGTAGCAAGGTTAAGATAGGCAAAAGAAACAGATAAGGGGATAAGATAGAGACGAGTATAAGAAAGAAAGGGTAAAGCAAAGAAGGGGGATAAGATAGAGAACTGAGTACTGCATAAGAAAGAGAGAGTGGTAAAATAGTAAAGAAAGTGAGAGAAAAACTAGAGAGAGGTATTGGGAAGAGGATCAGAGACCAGATAGAACTGCCGACAGATGAATCATAATACAATAGAAGTAAATAATTCATCTAGGTACCTGTACCTAGATGAATTATCTAAATAGGTACCTGGGAGTTAGTACCTAAACTTCTTAATTAAGGTTAGTACCTAAATAGGTACCTGGGAGTTAGTACCTAAACTTCTTAATTAAAGTTAGTACCTAAATAAGTACCTGGGAATTAGACAACTGCTACGGGCTGCTTCCTGTACTTACCTAATTGTGCTTGCGGGGGTTGAGCTCTGGCTCTTTGGTCCCGCCTCTCAACGGTCAATCAACTAATGTACAGGTTCCCCCCGGTTCCTCTGTGTGTGTGCGTGTGTGTGTGTGTACTCACCTAGTTGTACTCACCTAGTTGTGTTTGCGGGGGTTGAGCTCTGGCTCTTTGGTCCCGCCTCTCAACCGTCAATCAACAGGTGTACAGATTCCTGAGCCTATCGGGCTCTGTCATATCTACACTTGAAACTGTGTATGGAGTGAGCCTCCACCACATCACCCCCTAATGCATTCCATTTGTCAACCACTCTGACACTAAAAAAGTTCTTTCTAATATCTCTGTGGCTCATTTGGGCACTCAGTTTCCACCTGTGTCCCCTTGTGCGTGTTCCCCTTGTGTTAAATAGACTGTCTTTATCTACCCTATCAATTCCCTTCAGAATCTTGAATGTGGTGATCATGTCCCCCCTAACTCTTCTGTCTTCCAGCGAAGTGAGGTTTAATTCCCGTAGTCTCTCCTCGTAGCTCATACCTCTCAGCTCGGGTACTAGTCTGGTGGCAAACCTTTGAACCTTTTCCAGTTTAGTCTTATCCTTGACTGGATATGGACTCCATGCTGGGGCTGCATACTCCAGGATTGGCCTGACATATGTGGTATACAAAGTTCTGAATGATTCTTTACACAAGTTTCTGAATGCCGTTCGTATGTTGGCCAGCCTGGCATATGCCGCTGATGTTATCCGCTTGATATGTGCTGCAGGAGACAGGTCTGGCGTGATATCAACCCCCAAGTCTTTTTCCTTCTCTGACTCCTGAAGAATTTCCTCTCCCAGATGATACCTTGTATCTGGCCTCCTGCTCCCTACACCTATCTTCATTACATTACATTTGGTTGGGTTAAACTCTAACAACCATTTGTTCGACCATTCCTTCAGCTTGTCTAGGTCTTCTTGAAGCCTCAAACAGTCCTCTTCTGTTTTAATCCTTCTCATAATTTTAGCATCGTCCGCAAACATTGAGAGAAATGAATCGATACCCTCCGGGAGATCATTTACATATATCAGAAACAAGATAGGACCGAGTACAGAGCCCTGTGGGACTCCACTGGTGACTTCACGCCAATCGGAGGTCTCACCCCTCACCGTAACTCTCTGCTTCCTATTGCTTAGATACTCCCTTATCCACTGGAGCACCTTACCAGCTACACCTGCCTGTCTCTCCAGCTTATGTACCAGCCTCTTATGCGGTACTGTGTCAAAGGCTTTCCGACAATCCAAGAAAATGCAGTCCGCCCAGCCCTCTCTTTCTTGCTTAATCTGTGTCACCTGATCGTAGATGTGTGTGTGTGTGTGTGTGTGTGTGTGTGTGTGTGTGTGTGTGTGTGTGTGTGTGTGTGTGTGTGTGTGTGTGTGTGTGTGTGAAAAAAAATCAATTGATTGACAGTTGAGAGGCGGGCCAAAGAGCCAGAGCTCAACCCCCGCAAGCACAACTAGGTGTATACAGTGAAAAGATTTAAAGAAGAGAAAATTAAATTAGCGCAAGAAAGTGAAGATATTATTCCATTACTTTCTTTCTTATCTTAAACAAACTATCATCATGCAAAGACACACGTGATTTCAATTCGAGATAAGTTTTGTTTGTTGATTTAATGAGGCTTTTTTAGTGTATGTAAACTCATTTTAGCATTGAGGAAGGAGGTATGATTAATGCTCCCTTACCCCTTGTGGATAACATAGGAAACTATGGTACTTCAGTGCTTGAGAACTTACCTGTCGAGGTAGAGGTGTAGTCACGGGTTTACCTCTGAGCTTGAGAACTTACCTGTCGAGGTAGAGGTGTAGTCAAGGGTTTACCTCTGAGCTTGAGAACTTACCTGTCGAGGTGGAGGTGTAGTCAAGGGTTTACCTCTGAGCTTGAGAACTTACCTGTCGAGGTAGAGGTGTAGTCAAGGGTTTACCTCTGAGCTTGAGAACTTACCTGTCGAGGTGGAGGTGTAGTCAAGGGTTTACCTGAGCTTGAGAACTTACCTGTCAAGGTGGAGGTGTAGTCACGGGTTTACCTCTGAGCTTGAGAACTTACCTGTCGAGGTGGAGGTGTAGTCACGGGTTTACCTCTGAGCTTGAGAACTTACCTGTCGAGGTGGAGGTGTAGTCACGGGTTTACCTCTGAGCTTGAGAACTTACCTGTCGAGGTGGAGGTGTAGTCACGGGTTTACCTCTGAGCTTGAGAACTTACCTGTCGAGGTGGAGGTGTAGTCACGGGTTTACCTCTGAGCTTGAGAACTTACCTGTCGAGGTGGAGGTGTAGTCACGGGTTTACCTCTGAGCTTGAGAACTTACCTGTCGAGGTGGAGGTGTAGTCAAGGGTTTACCTCTGAGCTTGAGAACTTACCTGTCGAGGTGGAGGTGTAGTCAAGGGTTTACCTCTGAGCTTGAGAACTTACCTGTCGAGGTGGAGGTGTAGTCACGGGTTTACCTCAGTGCTTGAGAACTTACCCATCAAGGTGGAGTTATGGGTTTACCTCAGTGCTTGAGAATTTACCCATCGAGGTGGAGGTGTAGTCACAGGTTTACCTCAGTGCTTGAGAACTTACCCGTCAAGGTGGAGGTGCAGTCACAGGTTTACCTCAGTGCTTGAGAACTTACCCATCGAGGTGGAGGTGTAGTCACAGGTTTACCTCAGTGCTTGAGAACTTACCCGTCAAGGTGGAGGTGTAGTCACAGGTTTACCTCAGTACCTGAGAACTTACCCATCGAGAATCATAAAGTCGTTATTTTTCTTCCAGAAGGTGATAGGCTTGGGGTAGGCCTCCACCTTGCAGGAGAGGAAGAGGTCAGACCCCAGGGGCGTCCCCACCAGCTGGTTCGGGACGTGGACCGTCGGCTCGACTGTTGGAACATGAACAAGAGGGTCAATGAGCACTCCGTCCTCACGACGGCTCAACCGGAGAAGTTCCACCGGTTTTATCTACCCAGAAACGTAATAACACAGGAAACCAAACTAACCTGTCGTGGCGGATCGCTAATTGGCTGCAGGAAGGTTATCTTGAGGTTATCTTGAGATGATTTCGGGGCTTTTTAGTGTCCCCGCGGCCCGGTCCTCGACCAGGCCTCCACCCCCAGGAAGCAGCCCGTGACAGCTGACTAACACCCAGGTACCTATTTTTACTGCTAGGTAACAGGAGCATAGGGTGAAAGAAACTCTGCCCATTGTTTCTCGCCGGCGCCCGGGATCGAACCCTGGACCACAGGATCACAAGTCCAGAGTGCTGTCCGCTCGGCCGACCGGCTCCCTTGATTGTGGAAGCGTTGATTCTGCGGCTGTTATAGTCGCAGAATCAACTACACACAGTTGAACAAACTGTGTGTAGTTGATTCGTTTCACTACACACGGAAATCACAATTGCGTGATGCATCATATGAACAAAAGTCCTTCAGTAGTACTTCGGTTTCAACTCCTTTTGACCATGTCGTAGCTCAGTCGATTAAGGCAGCGTCTGGGATGCTCTCGGACGCAGGTTCGAATCCTCGTCACGGCCCTTGTGGATTTGTTCATAGTTTCGTATATACCACCGCTATTCTAACGTTGTGACGACAGCGTGTCACTGTATTAAGTGACAGACCAGGACCCTGATTCACGAAGCAGTTACGTAAGTACTTTCGAACGTGTCAATCCGTCCTCCTAACAAAACAACCCGTCCTCGAATCAAGTCCATTACATCCAGCGGTCGACCCCACAGACGCATTCATAAATTTTTATATGCTGTTCATTCAAAACGGGAATTTTCTCAAGTATAAATTAATATTATAATATATTAGCATATTGTGCATATATAGGCATTGGTTAGGTTAGGTTAGGTGTTTAGGTTCTGTTGGCGATTATTTGTATTTGTAGTACGTGGGTGAAGCATTTACAGAGTTGTGGTTCGAACAAAAGTCGTCAGTGAAGCACTTGTTCCGGAAGTGTTCAAACGTCAACAGTTGTGAGTCGTGTGTAAACCGCTTTTCATTCATAAACAGCGGGTTTGGCGGGTGCATGGAATCACAAATGCTTCACCCACGTACTACAAATGCAAATAATCGCCAACAGAACCTAAACGCCTAACCTAACCTAACCTAACTTATGCCTATATATATATATACACACACAATATTAATATTATAATATTAATTTATACTTGAGAAAATTCCCGTTTTGAATGAACAGCATGTTAAAATTTATGAATGCGTCTGTGGGGTTGACCGCTGAATGTAATGGACTTGAGTCGAGGACGGGTTGGCTTGCGGAGGTTGAGGCTTGACTCTTTGTTGCCAACTCTCAACATTCAGTAAACTAGTGAACGTGTTCCTGAGCCTGTTGGGCTCTATTTTATTTACGTTTGAAGCTGTGTATGCTGTCTGCCTCCATCACCCAACTTCTGAAAAAACTAATGTATCTGTGTACTCACTTTCAACCGGTGGTCCCCTTGTCCGAGTACCATTCATGCCAAATAGTCACTCCATATTCTACCCTATTAATTTCTCTGAGAATTTTGTACGTTGTAATCATGTCTCTCACAAATATCCTGTCTTCTAGTGACGTGCGGTTTAATTTCTGTAGTCTCTCCTGAGTCATACATCTCAGTTCAGAGAATAATCTTGTGGCATACCTCCAAACTTTCTCCACCTTCGTTGTGTGAATGACTTCCTACGGACTCTAAGCTCGATTAGAATATTCCAAAACTCACCGAACATGTCATATATAAAGCCTTGAGTGATTCTCAAATTTCTAAATGATGATTCAATGATGCTCAACCGAGATTGAGCCGCTGATAAAATCCGTTTGATGTGTGCTTCTGAAAACAGGCTCAGTGTGATATTAACTCGATGGTCCTGTACATCGGAGACAGGTTGATTGGATTTAAAAGGCATGTTCAGTTTGATGAGATCGTAGGCATTTTTACTCAGTCATTTGTCATACAAGGAGTGAATTGGTATGTTGGCATCACTCTGTAGTGTGTTAATGTCACAGAATAATTTGTCTCTTGAGCAATGCAGGAGATGCAGGGTTTAAGGTAAAAGGTCGTGTTGACTTGATTCTTGATTGACTTGTTCAGAGAGGTTGGGGGTTGGGGGCTGAGGTCTCAGGTCTCTCCTGAGCTTAGGTAGGGATGGGTAACCAAAGGATAGGAGGGGGGGGGATAGGGAGAGCTGAGGGTGTGGAAGGTTTGTGAGGTGGATGGTGTGTGTGTGTGTGTGTGTGTGTGTGTGTGTGTGTGTGTGTGTGTGTGTGTGTGTGTGTGTGTGTGTGTGCTGCACGTCTCTGTGGGGTTGCTTGCTATGTTTGGGGACTGTTCTTTCCCGGTTCCCTTCTCCCAATCTACTTGCGCCTCTTCCTTATGTCCCTTCCCATGACTCTGTAGTCCCTCGTCATGTCCCTTTGGAGGAATAGTTCTGTATTCCATTACATTTAGCAGTTGGTTCTTCTTTGCTGGAATTTTCTAGGATCGTTGCATAAGCATTACACGCTCGTCATTGGCTACAAAATAGAGTCGTCTGTGAAAACAATGCAGACAGGATACCCCAAACAACCTGTTGATCAACGTATGCAGTAGGGCTGGTCCCACCACACACACACCGAAACTACGACGTTGGTACAACGTTCGAACAAGTTTTAACACCTAACCAGTTATAACAACCAATATACCAAGTTGTAACAACGTTCTAAAACGTCATAAACACGTTAAGCCAAGATGTAACCACTTTATTACAAGTTGTAACAAGCGGAAAATAGGGACAGTTTCGGTTTGTGTTTCCAGGGCTTTGGCGGTTTGCATTTCCAGGGCATTGGCAGTTTGTGTTTCCAGGGCATTGGCAGTTTGTGTTTCCAGGGCATTGGCAGTTTGTGTTTCCAGGGCATTGACAGTTTGTGTTTCCAGGGCATTGGCGGTTTGTGTTTCCAGGGCATTGGCAGTTTGTGTTTCCAGGGCATTGGCGGTTTGTGTTTCCAGGGCATTGGCGGTTTGTGTTTCCAGGGCATTGGCGGTTTGTGTTTCCAGGGCATTGGCGGTTTGCGTTTCCAGGGCATTGGCGGTTTGCGTTTCCAGGGCATTGGCGGTTTGTGTTTCCAGGGCATTGGCAGTTTGTGTTTCCAGGGCATTGGCGGTTTGTGTTTCCAGGGCATTGACAGTTTGTGTTTCCAGGGCATTGACAGTTTGTGTTTCCAGGGCATTGGCAGTTTGTGTTTCCAGGGCATTGGCGGTTTGTGTTTCCAGGGCATTGGCAGTTTGTGTTTCCAGGGCATTGGTAGTTTGTGTTTCCAGGGGTAGCACTCCAGGATCAGAGTGCAGGCCACGGCAGCTCAAAGTATTTACCAGCGCGACTTCTCTGAGCGATACATATGTCATAAGTGTTAAGTATTGGTACGCGAGGAGCGGCTCCAGAGGTGTTAAATAATTGCATGTTTCACTTGCTGCCAAATGCTTCCTGCTTGAGTGAATGTTTTAACGGAATGTTGAGTGCAAATTTATCACTCGACTAAGAATATAAGAACAAAGCCACACACACACGCACACGCACACACAAGGGGCCTGGTAGCCTGGTGGATAGCGCGCAGGACTCGTAATTCTGTGGCGCGGGTTCGATTCCCGCACCAGGCAGAAACAAATGGGCAAAGTTTCTTTCATCATCAATGCCCCTGTTACCTAGCAGTAAATAGGTACCTGGGAGTTAGTCAGCTGTCTCGGGCTGCTTCCTAGGGTGTGTGTGTGTGTGTGTGTGTGTGTGTGTGTGTGGTGTGGGGAACAAATAGTAAACAGTTGATTGACAATTGAGAGGCGGGCAGAAAGAGCCAGAGCTCAACCCCCGCAAACACAACTAGGTGAATACACACACACACACACACACACACACACACACACACACACACACACACACACACACACTATATATATATATATATATATATATATATATATATATATATATATATATATAAAATCATCGGCACAAATAGGTGTATATCTACTTTTGCTAAATGTTATCTAAATGTTTGTCTAACAAGAGCAAAATTTGGCTGAATAACACTTAGAGCTCTTGTTATAAGAGATTCTAGAAATATATCTTGATATCCTATTTGCTTTATTGGCTCTAAATCCCTACTAATTATAATTCCTAGATTACGATCTCTTCAAAACCTCTGTGATGGTGTGTACTCACCTATTTGTGCTTGCGGCGGTTGAGCTCTGGCTCTTTGGTCCCGCCTCTCAACTGTCAATCAACTGGTGTACAGGTTCCTGGGCCTACTGGGCTCTATCATATCTACACTTGAAACTGTGTATGGAGTCAGCCTCCACCACATCACTTCCTAATGCATTCCATTTGTCAACCACTCCGACACTAAAAAAGTTCTTTCTAATATCTCTGTGACTCATTTGGGCACTCAATTTCCACCTGTCCCCCCTAGTGCATGTGCCCCTTGTGTTAAACAGCCTGTCTTTAGCAACCCAGTCAATTCCCTTGAGGATCTTGAATGTGGTGACCATGTCCCCCTAACTCTTCTGTCTTCCATCGATGTGAGGTTTAATTCCCGTAGTCTCTTCTCGTAGCTCATACCTCTCAGCCCGGGTACTAGTCTGGTGGCAAACCTTTGAACCTTTTTCAGTTTAGTCTTATCCTTGACTAGATATGAACTCCATGCTGGGGCTGCATACTCCAGGACTGGTCTGACATATGTGGTATACAAAGTTCTAAATGATTCCTTACACAAGTTTCTAAGTGCCGTTCTTATGTTGGCCAACCTGGCAAATGCTGCTGATGTTATCCTCTTGATATGTGCTGCAGGAGACAGGTCAGGCGTGATATCAACCCCCAAGTCTTTTTCTCTCTCTGACTCTTGAAGAATTTCATCT